AGAGGGAGAGGAGGAGGGGGAAGAGAAGTTGGAAGATAGGGAGGAAAGGGGGGAAAGAGGGAGAGGGAGGGGAGAGAGAGGGAGATGGAGAGAGGGGAAAAGAGAGAGAAGGGAAGGAAAGGGGGGAAGAGATGGGAAGAGGGGGAGAGGGGGAGAAGAGAGGGAGGGGGGGAGAGAGAGAGAGACCCCATTCAGCAAACACTTTGGGGGGAAACCCTCATTGATTTTCCTTCCTTCCTCCTCCCTGCAGCTTGGTCATCTCACCCTTGAGGATTATCAGATCTGGAGTGTGAAGAGTGCCCTTGCCAACGAATTTTTGAACCTGCTTTTTCAGGTACGTTTACTGCAAGCCCGAACCTCCAGTGGAAGGCAAGCCTTGGATTTGCCTTCCTGCTTTCTTTGCAATCACGGGTTGCCAAGTGCTGTATCAGCTCTTATGTCAGCTGCATTCCTGGAGATCTCTGGTTTTTGTTGTTGTTGTTGTTTTTGGAAATGTGAGCTTGGCCCGAGATGCTTCTCTTTTGCCTGACTCATATCAGCCCAACTTGGTGGAGTAGTTAAGATGGTAGTCTGGAAAACAGGAGATGGTGAGTTCAAGTCCTACTTAGGCATCCAAGCCAGCTTGGGAACTTTCAGCCAGTTACTATCTCTCATCCCACTTCACAGGGTTGTTGTTTCGGGGAAAATAGGCAGAAGTGTTAGGTGTGTTTGCTATTTTGAAGTAGGTACTATATGTATGTAGATAGGTAGAGGGGGGGGGGGGAATAAGAGTAAGTGAAAGGGAGAGAGGGAGGGAGGAATAAAATAATACAAGTACTCTCGACTTACAAACATGCATTTAGTGACCGTTCAAAGTAATACTAATGCCCAGCATAGTTAGCTCACGTTGTAGTGTTTTGCAAGACCTTATCAAGCAAAATTGATCATTTCATTTTGAATGGGGAAAAGGATATCCGGCAAGATAAACAGGTATGCGGAGGTGATCCACGGCATAACTCCTACCTGCTCTTCAAACTGGGCTGGGCAGCCCATTTGGCAAGCGTTACATTCTGTCCCGTAGAACAAGGTTACGCATATTACTAAGTGCTGAGCTGCAGCTTTAGATGCCAGAATTCTTGCCAACCGTAGCCAGCGTACGCACTTAGTGTACTCAATGAAGTTGGCAGGGGATAAAGATAAAATCCAGTGTTACAGCCAGGGGGAGGGCCTCCTTTTTCAGAAAAGGCTGCAATACAGAGACATTTAGCATACTGATAAGGATGGGAAATGAAGCCTGCTCTGAAATGATGATTCGATCCTGGAAGCAGAAATGGTGGTTTGGCATAATGTCTGAATTTTGAGTTATCTATGATAGCTACAGTCAGCCCTGGGCAAATGTTTCCAGTGGGCTCAGTTGTTTATCTTGAATAGGAAAATGTCTTGTACAGGTTGTCTTCGACTTAACAATAGTTCGTTTAAGGACCGTTTGAAGTTACGATGACACTGAAAAAAGCGACTTAAGACTGATTTTCACACGTAGGACCACTGTAGCATCCCCGTGGTCCCATGATCAAAATTCAGACACTTGGCCACTGACGTTTATGACAGTCTCATGTCCCAAAGGAGCTTTTTTTTTTTCTTCCCAAGACGCAACTGGACTTTCTTGGTTTTTCTTTGAAGATGTTTCGCTTCTCACCCAAGAAGCTTCTTCAGCTCTGGCTGGAGGGTGGGGAATGGGAGGATTTATAATCCTTGCAGACAGCTGGTCGTTTGCATCCTTTTAGAGTCGTTAAGGCAACTTGGAATCCCAAAGGTGCTTTTTTCAAGAGGGCAACTGGACTTTCTTGTTTTTCTTTGAAGACGTTTCGCTTCTCATCCAAGAAGCTTCTTCAGCTCTGACTGGATGGTGGGGAATGGAAAGATTTATACTCCTTGCAGACAGCTGGTCATTTGCATTCTTTTAGTGGGTCATTGAGGTCACTTGGAGGTTGATCCTCAGGGTCACCTCAATGGTGCAAACGGGTGTGGAGCCTTCTTGGAACTGCTGAAAGGACTGTGTAGTATTTTGGAGATAGATGATGTTGTATTCTCCCTGCCCCACACCCCCTGTTGAGAGAGGGATGTTCAGTGTTGACACAGGTGGCCTCTTTGACTCCTCTTTCAAACCAGCGGTCCTCTCTGCCCAAAATATTTGGACTTTTCTGCCTTCCAAAGAGCGGCCTCTGTCTTTTAAATGCAGATCGACTGCTGAATCTTGTCCTGATGGGTTTGTTCTCCTATGTTGCGCTTATGGTCACATGATTACAATTCAGGTGCTTGGCGACTGGCTCATTACAGTATTTATGACAGTTGCAGTGTCATGTGATTCATCTTTTGCGGCCTTCTGAAAGGCCAAGTCGACGGGGAAACCAGATTCACTTCACAACCGTGTTACTAACTTAAACAACCACAGTGATTCACTTCACAGCGGCAGGAAAAGGGGTAAAACGGGGTAAAACTTGCTTAGCAACAGAAATGGTGGGCTCAATGGTGGTCGTAAGCCGAGGACTACCTAAAACAGAATAGATGTTCAAACGTTATCAGACCAAGAGGAATAACTCCTTAACTTAGTGTCCTTTTGGGGGGGCGCAAGTACATTTTCTCACCTTCCCTTTTTCACTCCCATCTCTTTTTTTTCTTTTCTAGGTGTGCCATATAGTCTTAGGTTTAAGACCTGCCACTCCAGGAGATGAAGGACAAATCATTAGGTAGGTTTGATCTTCTGACATCACCTTTCAAATGAATTTCAGAGACTCTTTCCTAGCTTAAAATAAGATGTGCGTTTTGGACCAAAGAACGTAAGCAAGGTAACGTCTTTGGTTTCCACCAATCAAGGCCGTGGAAGAAATAAGACGCATCAGGACTTAATCTCCAGATTGGGACCAAGAGAAAGGGGTTCAACTAGATCAGGGGTGTCAAACTCGATTTCATTGAGGGCCGCATCAGGGTTGTGTTTGACCTCGGGGGGGCTGGATGGGCGTGGCCAACTTGACATCACTCATATCAGGGGCACCTATGGTGGCCGGTGGTGCTTCTGCCAATGAAAATGGAGCTTGGGAGGGCCACGCATGGCCCGTTGCAGGAGGCCATCCCAGCCAAAAACTGAGATCGGGAGCCCATTTTCGCTGGCAGAAACACTGCAGGCCAGTCCTTCGCTATTTCCAGGCCAGCAGCTGGATTCGTGAATTCTATGCCACGGTTTGCTTTAACACTGTTTCGTTGGGAAAAAATTGTAGAAGGTGGCTTCTCAGAACGCTAAGCCATAAAGCATGGTTTACGGATTACAGGACGTCCTCGACTTAACAATCATTCGTTTAGTGACTGTTAACAGCAGCACTGAACAAGTAACTTACGGTTGATCCTCACACTTATGACTGTCGCAGCATCCTCACTTGTCACAGCATCCTCCTATACATGGACAAAATTCAGATGCTGGCAACTGGCGTGGATTTATGATGGTTGCTTCGTCCTGGGGTCACATGATCACCATTTGTAATCTTGCCAGCCAACTTGCAACAAGCAAAGGCAGTGGGGGAAGTCAGATCCACTTAACAACTGCAGTGGTTCGCTTAACAACTGGCAAAAAAGGTTGTAAAATGGGGCCTAAGCAGCTGAGTTGGAAAAAGCAGGAAATAAAGGACATCCTAGAGCCCGGGCGGAGGGTGGGGTGTGCCAAACAGAAGAACAAAAGATTGTCAGAGCAGACAGGTTCCCCTTAAGTTGATCTTTGGAGCTACTGGTTCAGTAGAACCGGGCCGAACTGGAAGAATCCCACCTCTGCTTAGGCCCCACTCAGTGGAGTTTATGTTGTATAGAATTGCACTGTAAGTGACTAGCATGATGCTTTTATCTCATCTTTGGTGAACATGCCTATATTACACATATATATATATATATGGTATTCAGCTTTGTTCAGGTATTTCCCACTCTCAAACAAAAAAATCTCCATACCACTAGCCAGGCAAACACCTGGGCACAAACAGATCCCCCCTGATACTTCCAGCTCAAACACACCCCAACCAGGCACCCAGATGAAACCTAGCTTCCTAATAAATGATAGCCGTCCGTTCACTCGGAGCCAAGCCGCACTAAAAGCCTCCAATACAGGAAACACAATGTTGCCAGCCAATCAAGACTAAAAAAGCTACAGAACAGACAGAAGATATTAGAAACACCAATCAAGCAGAATACAGCAAACTCCAAGACCAATAAACACAGACCAAGACTCCCAACCAATCAGGATGAAGAAAAAACCATTCTGGCACAGCAATAGGCTGCCCCAAATTTAAATCTGAAACCACTGTAAAAGTCTGACTCACAGACGAACACAATACAGAAGCCTGATGATGGCAGATGAGATTCTGCCGAAACGTTGCTACAACTTTCCATCGCTAAGCAAAGCATTCGCTAAGTGAGTTGCGCCCAATTTTATGGTCTCTTTTTGCCGTGGTTGTTAAGCGAATCGCCTCCATTGTTAAGTGAACCACACGGTTGTTAGGCAAACCCAGCTTCGTCCATGGGCTTTTCTTATTGGAAGCCAGCTGGGAAGGTTCTGGGAGGTTGCCACCATCATAAATAGATGCCTTGTTGCCAAGCGTCCAAATTGTAAGTGCGAGGACCTATTGCAAGCCACTTTTTCACTACTAATGTAGCTTCTAATGGTTGCTAAAACATTTGGTTGTAAGTTGAGGACTACCTGTATATGTGAAACACTGAATGTCTTTAAAAGCCAAGTGGAGATGTCAGGATGTCATGGAACAAAATAACTTTGAGGTCCCTGAGGATTCCTCCCCCCTCCCAATCTCTCTCTCTCCCTCTCTCTCCCTCTCCCCTCCCTCCTGCCCTTTCCTCTTTCTGTCTCTCTCTCTCTCCTCCCCCCCATCTCTCTCTCTCTCTCACACACACACACACAAATAATGATAAACGGGGACTGGTAACAGTGAGGTCAGAACTGAAATGAAATACACAAAGGGCAGCTAGAATTAATTCCATTGTCAAGGTACACTTTCAACAATGAGTTGTTAAAGGATCTAACAATGGCATTCTGGCACTATCGAGTTAATGGGCAGAGATATGTGATAAAAAAATCCCTTTGTCTCTACTCCAGCCACCAACCTATTGTAATTAAAAGAGCACAATTGTCAAGAAATTCAGTCAGATTACTAGTTCCTGAAGCCAGGAGTAAGATTTTATCTGGCTGTATATGCTAATTATCTCGTCAGTGCCGGATGCCTTTGTAATCACTGTCTCGCAAATGGCCACTGTGAACAACATAACTACCACTTTCTGTACCCTATGAATTTTGTTTTCTTCTGCTTACGTTCCTTCCTCTCTCCCCAAACTATAGATACAGTCCTGTGATTCTTGATAATATTGTCAGTTTTGATGCAATTGGCCTGGGAAATTATGTCCAATGTCTGTGTGTACAGTGGTACCTTGGTGCTCAACTGCTGTGAAACCCATCAAATTTGGTCCTCAACGCATTTTGACACAAACATTTTGTCCCCGGGAATCATCATTTGTTGGGTACTCAACATACAAGCTAGAACTTGCTACATTGTTCCTTATGGGAAAAATGGTGTGTTACTCATCGTTTTTGATGCTCATTGCCCCTCGCGGAACCAATTAATGATGAGTACTGAGGTACCACTGTATTTACCCATGTAATATGGCTGTAGGATAATACAATCCTATTGCAATAGGGTTATTATTATTTATTTACCCTTCTTAGCATCTTTTTTTACTACCCTCCTCTTATTGGCATTATTATGATGCTTGTCATTATTCTGTTGCTTTGCATGTACACTGATAGCTGCAACACCAGAGACAAATTCCTTATCTGTCTAATCACATTTGGCCAATAAAGTATTCAATTCAATGTGAAATAATTGTAATGTGAAAGTAATACATTTGTAAGGAAGGCATTGAGGTTGAAGATGCTTAACATGGTTGCCCTTCCAGAAGTTATCATTTGACACCTTCATTCTGACAGTGGTTTTCAAATTGTTATGAACGCCCAAAAAACTTGGTTTCTTAAACTAGGCTTCCTCCAGATACATTTGATAAGGCAATCTAGAAGACGTTAGACTCTTTGTAGACCAGTGTTTCTCATATTATTTATTTAGCCCGTGGCGTACAATGTCAGGAAAATCTACAAATGCTAGACTCAAGGCAGTCCTGACATCCTATATTTCTAGTTCCTTGTGTTCAGCATTTGCATGCCTGTACTTGGTGCACCGCAATGGGCTAGCTCACACCAGCTGACTAGTGGTCCTTGGGTTGTTGGGTCTTCTGGGCTGCTCTGCCAGTCTCACCTCAGCGCATGTCGCATTGCCTTGCATTCAGCCAGGTCCAGCACCAGCTTCCGCTCCCCCCCGCACACAAACATGGCTAGGTTTTTCCTATTGAGCTGGTACCCTTGGTGGAGCAGTGGTGAAGCCTTGGTGGTGCAGTGGTTAGAGTGCAGTACTACAGGCTACTTCTGCTGCCTGCCGGCTGCCTGCAATTTGGCAATTCAATTACCACCAGGCTCAAGGTTGACTCAGACTTCCGTCCTTCCGAGGTCGGTAAAATGAGGACTCAGATTGTTGGGGGGGGGGCAATACGCTGACTCTGTAAACCGCTTAGAGAAGGCTGTAAAGCACTGTGAAGCAGTATATAAGTCTAAGTGCTATTGCTACCCATTTATCTACTTGCAGTATTGCATGCTTTCGAACTGCTAGGTTGGCAGGAGGCTGGGGAGCAAACGTTAGGAGCTCACCCCATCTTGTGGAGCTGAGCTCGAACCATTGGAATGCAGACCATTTCTGGCCAGCAATTCCAGCATCATTAAGCCCCTGCATCACCGCATCCTTGAGACTATTTCTCAACCTTGGCAACACATAAGATGGGTGGACTTCAACTCCCAGAATTCCCCAGCCAGCTAGGAATGAATTTCCCCAGGCTGGCTCAGTTCTGGGAGTTGAAGTCCACCCATCGTAACGCTGCCAAAGTCAAGAAATACACGTGGAGATATTGAAGCACAAGTATTGTTAAGTATTGCACCACTGATCTCTTCCTTTTGTTTTCTTGGCGCAGAGGCTGGCTAGAACGTGAAAGTAGACATGGCCTTCAACAAGGACACAACTGGTTTCTCATCGCAATGCAGTGGTGGCATCAGTGGAAAGAATACGTCAAATACGTAAGTCGCAAACTGGACCTGGAAGAGAGAGTGGCTGGATCGAGAAACGGATGAATAAATAGCGTGTCAGTGTCCGTGTACCAGAATCAGATGGGAGCTGAACTTCCCTCACCCTTTAGGACAGTGTTTCCCCAACCTTGGTATCGTAAAGATGGGTGGATTTCAACTGCTAGAACAGGGCTGTCAAACTCCCGGCCTGCGGACCGGATGCGTCATGGCACTGGCTATGCCCCCGCCCCGTTTAGCGAGGGGGGGGGGGGGAAATTCTCCGATACCTCATGTGACGCCACCATGACGATGTGAGTTTGACACCCCTGTCCTAGAATCTCCCTGCCAGCCATGTTGGCTTCTCATCCAAGAACTTTCTTCTGTTCTGAAGAAGTTGTTTCTTGGATGGAAAGTGAAACATTTTCGAAGAAAAAAAAAAACCCAAGAAAGTCCAGTTGCCTATTGGAAAAAGTGCCTTTGGAACATTCTAGTCTCTTTTGCTCTCCTCTTGTCGCCCTCAACTAATGAAAACTGAAGGTCTTTGGCAAATTTACAGGATGGACTTTGTATGCAGTCATAATTTTGACTGCTTCAAAACTTGTAAAATTCGGTACTCGATGTGTTTTGAAGCAGAAATCTTGTCCCGGCACTCGTCTTTCTCCTGGTAGTTGATACGCAAGGACGAACTTGCTGATGTCAGCTGCCTCGTGACTCACTATTTCTTCCAGCCAAAATAGCAGGTCAAGTGGTTTCCTCCTTACGTGTCAGTTTTAGTATTTGTTGTATCTTTCCCAGAAACAAATTACCAACAGTTACTGAGGTATCACTGTGATGGACAAGCCCATACACCGCCTTCCAGGCCAAGAAAATGACAATTGGAAGTACTTGGGCCTTTCTGAGCTACCGTCTCGCTCTACAGTTGAGCTCTGACCCAAATGTGCTTTTTTTTTTTCAAGAGGCAACTGGACTTTCTGGTTTTTCTTCGAAGGCGTTTCACTTCTCATCCAAGAAGCTTCTTCAGCTCTGACTGGATGGTGAAGAATAGAAGGATTTATTCCCCTTGCAGACAGCTGGTCATTTGCAGTCTTTTAGCTAGTCGTTGAGGCCTCTTGGAGGTTTATCTGTGTTCTCAGGGTCACCTGAGTAGTGCAAATGGGTGGTTTTTTTTTCAAGAGGCAACTGGACTTTCTGGTTTTTTCTTTGAAGATGTTTTGCTTCTCCAAGAAGTTTCTTTAGCTCTGACTGGACGGCGGGGAAGTCAGAGCTGAAGAAGCTTTTGGGATGAGAAGCAAAACATCTTCAAAGAAAATCCAAAGTTCAATTGCCCTTTGGGACAGCTATGACCTGGATGATTGAGAATCTCCATAGAAATTTGAGTTCTGACTTTCTTTTCCAATTTAGGATGCCCCCACTGTTATGATAGAGCCTGTGTCTGCTTCAAATGGAGGTAAGACTTCCCTCCTGAGTCCTGGGACACCCACATCAGAGCTGGGAGACGACCAAACGGGTGCTTCGAATAACATCAATGCCGCAGAAGAAAAGTTTTCAGATGATATTTCCAGCGCGTCGGAAGCATCGGAGACAACTAACAGCAGTAAGCATTAACCCCCGAAAGCAACAACAGCCTGACAAACTGTTTTATTTCTAAAGAGCTTGGAAGGTAAACTGAATGTGTAAAAATGGTCGAACCAGGTGAGAGGTTTGGCTAAATTTACGAAAGATTCACTTTTTCAAACAGAAACATTATGTGGACATGTGAAACAATAGGAAAAGAATACCGGTAGTCCTCGACTTAATGACCACAATTGAGCCCAACATTTCTGTGATTAAGTGAGACATTTGTTACAACCTTCCTTGACACAGTTGTTAAGTGAATCCCTGCATTTGTTAAGTTAGTGACACGGTTGTTTAAGTCAATCCAACTTCCCCACTGAGTTTGCTTGTTAGAAGGTTGCAAAAGCCGATCTCGTGACCCTGGGACACTGCAACCGTCATAAATACGAGTCAGTTGCCAAACCAGTTAATTCCTGTAGTTGTTAGGTTAGTAAGTGAATTGAGTTTGCTTGCAAAAGAGGATCACATGACCCTGGGACACTGCAACTGTCCCAAGCCTTGTTCAAATCAAATCAAACACAATTTTTTCATAAAACCTCTTTTAATGCGGCGCTGTGAATGCTGTGCATTCACGACCGAGAGTCATTTCAAACTAATTGTCCCAGAGAAGAGCAAGCCCCTTTCAAGGTTGTGAATGGCTGCCAAGAGCAAAAGACTAATTGCAGATAAATATCCCAAGTCAAAAGTTTCAAAAAACAAACCAGAGTAAAAGCAGGGCTTCGACGAGGACTCTGAGCATAATGAACTTATTTGCTTCCTGCAAAGAAGCCAACCCCAAAGGCTAGCTTTTATCCCTTATGGGAGGGGCCATCACCTTCCAGCCTTACTCCCGAGTTGCCTGTGCTGCTTCAGCGGCTCTTTCCTTCGAGCAGCCGTGTGCACACGTGCACTGAGCACAGGCTCCCCAGGTCCCCCTTCGTCACTGCTGCCAGACTCCACAACCTCCGAAGGCAGCACCCCACTCTCCAATCGTCCTGGCCCCATTCCTGCATCACATGCAGGCCCCTCATTTGAGTCCTCGCTGTCAGAGATCTCAGCCGTCCGCGCTGCTGCCGGCGAACCACAACACTGTCATAACTACGAGTCAATTGCCAAGTATCTGAATTTGGATCAGGCGACCAAGAGGATGCTGCGCCGGTTGTAAGGGTCAAAAACGGTAATGAGTCATTTTTTTTCAGTGCCTTTGTAACTTTGAACAGCCACTAAACGAACTGTTGTAAGGCGAGGACTACCTCTATGGCCTCCTGAGAAAACGAAGGAGGTGCCAAGATCCTGTTATAAGAGGTTGATGGATCATAAAAAGCAGCTTTCGAGATGTCGGGAAGCTCATAATTCATACAATTTTCAAGTCAACATACAGAAGGTGACATTTGAGGGGAGTTATAATTCAGCCATACCTTCGGGGCCACTGGTTTGTTCCTTACTGATATTCCGCCATAACTTTGCACCCTTCGGGCTTATTTTTGCTTCGTCCTGCTTTACCTTCCAGATTGTCTTCATGCCACCACTCCCAATACCGAGATGTCTTTGGCTCGACACCTTAATTCTTCGGACAACAACAATCAGTGCCTCCTTGCCTCTAATGGGAATATCTTACTGCAGCTGCTGAATCCACAGCGGCCCGGAGCAATCGATAATCAGCCGCTTGTAACGCAAGAGCCCGTGAAGGTAAGCGTCTTATAAGTATAAAAACAATACAGCAGGGGCTCTCAACCCCTGGTCTGTGGACCGGCACCGGTCTGTGGCATGCCAGCAACTGGTCCGCGCAAACAAATGAAGCCCCGTCCTACAGATGAGGAGGCAAAACCATTCCCCCTCCGGTCCACGGAAAAAATTTCCTCCGTGGAACCAGTCCCTGGTACCCAAAACATTAGGAGCAGGGGGGGTGGGCTTCAAAAATTTCAGCAACCAGTTCTCTGCCTGGTTGCTGGGTGGGCGTGGCCATGTCAGCCTCCTGAATCGGGGGGTGTAGCCATGGTGGGCGTGGCCATATCAGCCTCCTCCATCGAAGGGGGGGGGGGCAATTTTGCCCTTCCCTGGCTCCGGACGCTTTCCTTGAGCCTCTGGGAGGGCAAAAATGGCTTCCCCCAGGCTCCAGAGGCTGGAAACAGGCCCATTTCTGGCCTTCCGGAACTTCCGGGACGCCCTTTTTTCGCCCTCCCCGAGCTGCGGGATCTGCACTTATTTCATATCTAAAACGGGCCACGTGGAGACTCCTGGGAGGGCGGGGTGGGGTGGGAGGGACAGAACGGGGTGAGCGGGGCCAGCCAGAGGTGGGATTTGGCAGTTCTCCGAACTGCCCATAATATTAGCTACAGATTCTCCTGAACCCGGGCCAACCCGTAGCAGCCTACCCCTGGTTAGGGGCCACTGCAATGCAGGTAGTCCTCAACAGCCTGACCTGTTGGGTGTTATAAGCAGGCTGCATTTTTTTCAGTTTCTATTTCAAGGCAGGGGTGGATTGGGGTTTTAAAAAAACCCGTCTTTTTCAAGTATTTTGTGCTTTAACAAAATACGACACCTCCATAAAAAGGCTTGGAAACTGAATCAATCAGTATGATTGGAGCGATGAGAGCTGTCAGGTACCATTTAAATTTGGGCAGCTGCCCTAATCAGGTTGTGCTGAAGATATTTGCAAAACTTACTTTTGGCTTATTTAATTAATTTAAACTCTGCTCTTTAGCCAAAGGCTAAGCAGTGAAACAGATTTGCAATCTGGAGACAGAATTAGAATTAGAATTCTTAATTGACCAAGTGTGATTAGACAATCGGGTCACGATTCAAAAATTGGGTGGCGAACAAAATCGGCGTGAAAAGATTCCCTTTCTGCACCAATTTCCCCTTCGGCACCAATTTTTTTTTACTGCGCACACGCACATTCGTTTGTGCTTCCGGACACAACCAAATTGTGTCACGACCGGAGTCCGGGAACAGATTACGGTTGCAACCCGAGGCTCCACTGTACTATATAAGCAATCAACATAACTCATACTAAGATACTAAGTAAACAATTTAAATCATAAGATACAAGCAACAAAGTAATAGTCATAAGAAGATAAGGAGATAAGTAATGGGGAAGTTGAGAATAATGATGGTTATACTGCTGTCAACTCTGAAGTTAGCCTGACGTGAGGCCATCATGGAGGCTTCAGTGTTGCCACAATGGGGCTGAGGGATAGGGAGGGGGGGGAGTAGAGATAGCTGGGGGTTTTGTAGCCAAAATAAAATAGTTTCCCCAGAGAACCAAGGACGTTCCCACAGGTGGCTGAAGAGAGGAGGAGTGAAGTTTCCAAGCAACCATATGGCACTTTGATTGGAACCTGTGATGGATTATTTGGGAAAGGGGGAAAACTTTTACTTTGAATTAGGTGAAAACTGTGGGAACCTTTAAGAGTCGGTTTTTACCAGTCTGTGCCAAAATGATAGATCCAATAAACTTGTTCTTGAGGAAACTGCATGCCTTGGAGTTCTGTTTGCTTATGGATCTATTACTTGGGACCTGGACAACTGCCTTTCTAAGTAGTTTTGACAGTGTTGTGGGAATTAGTTGTATAATTCATTATTATAATTAGTTATAATAATCAAGAAAAAGAGACAAGGAGGGAAAAGGGAAAAAGTCGGCACAGGGACCATTTCTTCATGGGTCAGGGTCTCACTAATGCTTTCATCTCCAGGGTTAGAAAAAAGAAAAGTGGTTCATTGCCAGAAGAAACCACAGAACGACCATGTTGAACAAGCACGCAAATAATCCCAAACCTTTTTAATGACCAAATCCATTTTGGGAAATGGGATGGCCTCCCTAATGTTGCTCAGCCTATTCTATTCATCTGCGTTAATTTTTTATTTGGTTTGGGATTTTAAATCTTCCTGCATGGGGCAGTTTGAAGAAATTTGATAAAAGACAAAATCAGAATCTTCTTCTTTTTATTTTTTTTGAAGGCGCCATCATTGACTTTGGAAGGCGGGCGATTAAAACCATCGCCCCAATTAATCCAAGGGAAAAATTATGAAATGGTCCCAGAACCGGTGTGGAGAGCCCTCTACCATTGGTACGGAGCAAACCTGTCTTTGCCCAGACCGGTAAGTACTGAAAATGGGCAATGATCCTTTAGGTCAGTGGTCACCAACCAGAGGGCCGGAGACCACTGGTAGTCTGTGAGAAAATTTTGGAGGTCCGCAGAAAAATGTCCCCCCCCCCCCCAAGCAATTAAGCCAGGCTGCATGGGAACACAAGGCTGTGCCACCCATATGGCCCGCGGGAACACAAGGCTTGCGTCGCTTGCATTGTGAACAACACAAGGTAGTGAAGGGAGGGGGAAAGGGGGGAGGGGGAACTTGCCCCACATGCGCCTGGCCTGGCCACTGGGCTGCTTCTTTCTGCTTCTTTCTTCTGCTTTTGGCGGCATGCAAGGAAAGCAGCAAAAGTCTTTCTTTCTTCCCCCCAAACTCCGCCTGAAATGAGTCTTTGGGACCCTGCAAGGCCTCCTGCTCCAAGAGGCTGCACCAGCAAAGACTCATTTCTGGCAGAGTTTGGGAGAGAGAAAGAAAGATTTCTGCTGCTTCTGCTGCTTTCCTTGCGTGAAACCAAAAGTCTCTCTCTCTCTCCCCCTGAGAACAGAACTGGGGATGGTATCCTGTGATCCCAAATAAAGAATGATCGATCAGTAGGAAAACAGGGTGGGGAATTTTCCTGTAGAATTTTTTGGGGATTTTCCCAGGGTTTCTGGTCCATGGGATTTAAAATTATGAATTTGGTGGTCCTTGAGGTCCAAAAGGTTGGTGACCCCTGCTTTAGGTTGTTACCCTCAACTGGGCTCTTCAAAACATTCGAACTGAATTCCTTAATATTCCTAATGATCACCAAAGCCCTTGCTGATTGTAAATTGGTTGACTAAAGATGTAGACACAGGTAATCCTCAGCTTACGGCCACAATGGAGCCCAAAATGTATGTTGCTAAGTGGGAATTTTTTTTAAGTGAATTTTGTCCCATTTTATGACTTTCTTGCCACAGTTGTTTAAGTGAATCTGGTTTCCCCATTGACTTCGCTTGTCAGAAGGTTGCAAAAGGAGATCACATGACCCCGGGGGCATTGCAACCGTCATACATGTCAGCCAATTGTCAATCATCTGAATATAAATCACATGTCGACAGGGATGCTGCAACAGTCGTAAGTGTGAAAAATGGCCATAAGTCACTTTTTTCAGTGCCGTTGTAACTTCGAATGATCACTAAGCAAACTGTTGTAAGTCAAGGCCTACCTGTACAGTGGTACCTGGGTACTCATTATTAATTGGTTCCGGGAGGCGCCACGAGTATCAGAAACGATGAGTACCAAACAAATTTTTCCCATAAGGAATAAGGCATGTCTATGGAGATTCTCAGTCATTCCAGGTCATGGTTGTCCCAAACGTGCTTTTTCAAGAGGCAACTGGACTTTCCATAGTTTTTCTTTGAAGATGTTTTGCTTCTCCTCCAAGAAGCTTCTTCAATTCTCTAATGGTTAAAAAAAAAACCTCACCCTTCTTTGCTAATAACAAGTAATTTGCTACAGGTAGTCCTTGACTTACAACCGGTCACTTAGTGACTGTTCAAAGTTACAATGACTCCCAAAAAGGTACTTAGAGCCAGTTCCAATGTTCTGATGCCCCCCCCCCCCCGAAGTCACATGACAACATTTCAGTCACTCAAGACCGGTCCCACATTTACTGTTGTTGGTGGCATCCTGCAGTTAACGTAACTACAATTTGCAATGTTTTTCCTCAAAATCACTGTTTACTTCTCCCCGTAGCAACAGCAATAGCACTTAAGACTTATGTACCACTTCCCAGTGTTTTATGGTCCTCTCTAAGCAGTTTACAGAGTCAGCAACTTGCCCCCAACAACCTGAGTCCCCATTTTACCCACCTTGGAAGGATGGAAGGCTGAGTCAACTTTGAGCTGGTCAGGATTGAACCGCTGGCAGTGGGCAGAGTTAGCCTGCAATAGCAATAGCACTTAGACTTATATACCACTTCACAGTGTTTTACAGCCCTCTCTAAGCAGTTTACAGAGTCAGCCTCTTGCCCCCAACAATCTGGGTCCTAATTTTACCCACCTCGGGAGGATGGAAGGCTGAGTCAACCTTGAGCCTGGTGAGATTCAAATGGCCAAATTGCAGGCAGCTGGCAGTCAGCAGAAGTAGCCTGCAGTACTGCATTCTAACCACTGCGCCATTGCGACTCATAAGGAACAATGGGCTTACTTAATGACTACTGCAAAAAAAAAAAGGTCAAATGGGGCAGGTCACATGATGATCTGCTTTACAACCATCAGAACTTACGACCATATTTGGTAGCTTCCATTATGTTCGTAAATCAAGGGCTACCTTGTAATTCGATGCTCAGAGTTTTTAAAAAGTCAGATGAACTTGCAGTTTATCTCAGTTTAGTGGGAGGCAAAAAAAACCTCACCCTGTTTGAGACATTGAGGGCAACTGTCTCTAATTGGTATGTGGGACTCTCTAGCCAAGATAAATGTATTTTGCTAGATGGAAGTGCTACAGCAGCATGCATCAGGTAGGAAAAAAAAAACCTGATCTGGGATTTCTGATATCTCCCAGCATATGTTTTCCATTAAAATATCCCCTCCAACTCATATTCTGCTTTTATTCATAACCCTAGAGTGTTGAGCTTTACAAAAAAATACACCCACGCACAAAATTGGATATCTTTTTGGCTTGGTAAGTTAGCTCTGTGCCAAAATGGATATTACAGTGCTAAATGTGCATTTTTAAGAGATTAGGTTGTGAGGGAATTGGGTTTTTTTTTAATTTCTCCACAAGTATAATGGCATATTAAAGCAGAGGTGGGGAAGTAATGTGATAAAAAATAAGTGAGGTACTAATACCACTCTATAAAGCCTTAGTAAGACCACACCTAGAGTACTGCATCCAGTTTTGGTCAGCACATTATAAAAATGGAGTTGAAAGACTAGAAAAAGTACAGAGACGAGCAACCAGGGACTGGAGGCTGAAATATATGAAGAACGGTTACAGGAACTGGGCCTGGCTAGTCTAGTGAAGAGAAGGACCAGGGGAGACAGGATAGCAGTCTTCCAATATTTGAGGGGCTGCCACAGAGAGGAAGGGGTCAAGCTATTTTCCAAAGGACCTGAAGGCCAGACAAGGAATGATGGATGGAAATTGAACAAGGAGAGATTTAATCTAGAAATAAGGAGAAACTTTCTGACAGTGAGAATAATCAACCAATGGAACAGAAGTTGCCCTTGGAAGTTGTGGGAGCATCATCACTTGAAACTTTCAAGAAGAGATTGGACTTCCATTTGTCAGAAATGGTATAGGGTCTCCCGCTTGGGCGGGGGGTTGGACTAGATGACCTACAAAGTCCCTTCCTACTCTGATTATCTGTTATCTTTTATCTGTTAAGAATGTCCATCTACCGGCACAAGGTTAATGGATTAGAGCTGGCTGCTTGATTGTCACCTGTTGGCAACTTAAACCCAGGGGCATAGGATGGAAGTAAACAGCGTGACATGTGGCATTCAATGTGATGGCCATGTGAGATCTTGCTAATTTTAATGAGCCACACTGTATAGCTAGTTCTGCAGCATGGGTTTGACCCTGCCACCACTTCTCTGAAATTTGGATCGCTCACAAAAGAGAATTGGTGAAACCATCACCAATGTACAGATCTGTACTTTGGAGAAACAAAACAACCACTTCACAAACACGTGGCACAACGTGGGACAAGATTGATTGATTGATTGTTTGATTGATTGATTGATTGATTGATTGATTCATTCATTCATTCATTCATTCATTTATTTGATTTGTCAATCGCTTCTTACAAAATAATAGGTATAAATATATACATACCGTATATACTCGAGTATAAGTCGACCCGAATATAAGCCGAGGCACCTAATTTTACACAAAAAACTGGGAAAACTTATTGACTCGAGTATAAGCCGAGGGTGGGAAATGCAGCAGCTACTGGTAAATTTCAAAAATAAAAATAATTAATTTGGGAAACGATCTCACTATCATGAAAGGTTTAATTGATTCACTAACCCAAAAGAAGAAGATGATGATGACAGCGGGAGGCAGGAGTCACTCTCTTCCCCTCCCTCGGAGGCCCCCTGAGTCAGGAGTCACTACCGCCGGCGCGGCCCCAGTCCCGCCGCCTCGGGAAGGGAAAGGCAAAGCGCTTTTTGCCTTTCCCTTCCCGGCTGGGGCTGTTGGGAGTCGCTGCCGCCGGAGGCCGCGACTCCACACCATTTTTTTTTCAGAGGGGAATCTGACTCGAGTATAAGCCGAGGGGGATTTTTTCAGCACAAAAAATGGGCTGAAAAACTAGGCTTATACTCGAGTATATACAGTAGTTATGAATACATGAAATGGGTACATATAAGAAAAATAAAAGAAACAATAGGACAGGGACGGTAGGCACGTTGGTGCGCTTATGCACGCCCCCTACAGACCTCTTAGGAAAGGTGTGTGGTCAATAGTAGACAGTCTAAGGTTAAAGTTTTGGGGGTTTGGGGAAGAAACTACAGAGTCAGGTAGAATATTCCAGACATTGACCACTCTGTTGCTGAAGTCGTATTTCTGCAATCAAGTTTGGTGCCCATTCAGCCGCTCACCTGCATTTGAAAGACAAAGACAAAGACAAAGACAAAGGTGCAATAATAGCTGGCAGGCTTTTTACACACAGCAAAAAGTACATGAACATGAACATGTCTTTTGGATTTAACGGACAGACAGGATTAACGGACACACCTCTCTCCAAATGATTTTCTAAATTGAAGGGATTTTTTTGTACATGTTGCTATGCTCTTCCATTGTTGCTCTGCATATTTATTGAACTTTCCAAAAACGTCAAGCGCCCCTATGGTCACCCTCCCGCGAGCAGAATTATTCAGAATCAGGGGAAATCGTTCTGTTTTTAAAACTTCAATCATCATTGTTTACGTGACAAAGTGCTAGCTTTTCCTCCTTCGTAGCTTCAGATAAAATTTTTTACATATCCATCCTTGAAGGGTGGCACACTGCCTGTTCTCCCTTCCTAGAGGAAGCATCCAGAAGCTCCGATTTATTATTACATTTCTCCACATATTCTCCATGGAAACTAGCAATTTTCATGGTCCAAAAAGCAGGATCATTTTCCCCCTTCTTTGGGCAGACCTTTGGAATATAAGGAAGGGGGGGACATCTGTATAAGAAGCACTCATTATTATATATACAAATACTCTTCATTTGAGACTACAATCAGTCCTTTTGGGTGAAAAATGAGGCCCACGCCTTGTCTTATACGGGGTAAGGTGAGGATGGGGTCTGCCTGGAATATAGTCCTTAACTTACAACCATTCATTTAGTGACCATTTGAAATTACAACGGCACTGAAAGCTGACTTAAGACCATTTTTCACATGTCCATTGCAGCATCTTCTTGGTCACGTGATCAAAATTCAGAGGTTTGGCGACTGGCCAATGTATTTATGATGGTTGCAGTGTCCTAGGGTCATGTAATCATCTTTTGCAACACTATAAAAGCCAGTGGGGAAACCAGATTCATTTAATAACCATGTTACAGGTAGTCCTTGACTTACAACAGTTTGTTTAGTGTCCCTTCCAACTCTGTTAATCGGTTAAAATCTGCTTGTCAACCCTGAAGCTGGCTAGACGGCGGCCAACTTCCTATTATGCTGGGGTTTTTCCTTTCTTCAAAGCTTCAGTGCTGACACAGACCGAGGATGAGGGAATAGGGAGGGGTGGAGTTGTAGAGAAAGGCTGGGGCGCTATAAACAAAACAACATTCTTTCCGTTGGGAACCAAGGTCATGTGTGCAGGTGGTTGGGAGGTGGAGACTGAGGTCATCCAATGTCTGGACTGTGTATCAACTAGTAAAACATTCCTATGCTTGTTTTCAAGTTGCCATAAGTGTGTGTGTGGGAGGGGGAGGGGGCGACCCAGAAGTAGATTCCACATATATCTCACAAAGATTTGTAGCTAGGCTATTGGATCTTCTTCCCATGAAAATCCTTCATTGGAGAATGTGATTGATGACGCCCAGTCCGTGAATGTGCTTTGTTGGAGAATCTGATTGATGACACACCCAGGGGGGAGGGGGGAAACAAGGTCACAGATGACCATAAATCACATATATCAGAGTTGGCTTCAACTGGGATAATGCCGACATGTTGCTCCTACTTTTGGATTCTTTTGAAGCTTGGCTCGAGGCTCATGATTTAATTAGGGCAATCGCCGGAACCCTGACATCAAGCCAACTCTGTCCCATGTGCTGATTGGACGATGTGACTGACGCCTCTGGGGAAGCAACCAACGTTTATTTTTTAATTAAGGGGGGAAAGTGGCGGGGACTTTAGATCCGGTTTTCACCAGCATTGTGCCAATATGACACGCCCTGATAAAATGTTCTTGGAGGAGACCTTGTGCCTCTGAGTTCTTTTGTTCGAGGAGGGGGGTTGTTAGTTGGGACCCTGACCCTGCTTCCATTCCCTCCTGCAGGTGATCAGAAACAGCGCGATGGGCCTGCCCGAACTGGAGCTATTTCCCCGTTACCTGCTCTTCCTGAGACAGCAGCCAGCTACCCGGACCCAGCAGTCCAATGTCTGGGTGAACATGGGTATGATGAGCCTGAGGCTGTTTCCTCAACATTGGCCGAGAGGTAACGTAAGACTACAGCAAGAACCCAGCTGCGCAGTAGTTCTCGAGGGGAGGCCGGCTCCACCGCCCAGACTTCGACGCCTGTGCTGCCACAGTGCTTGTAAATGACACTAATGAACCCCTTAAAAACACGGTTGGTGATGGTTGTCCCCTCTCTTCTCCCCTTTCAAAGGGATCCAAAACTCTTTATCAAAGGTCACGGAAGCATTCGGCCGTTTTTCTTTTCCTCATTTCGAACCCCTTGGTGAGGCCGCGCTTGGAACAGGGGGCCCAGTTCTGGTTCAACACGATACAAAATAGAGGTTGAGGTTCCGGAAAGAGTGCAGAGAGAAGAGCAATGAAAGAGGGTGAAGGGGTGCGGAGGCTAAATCTGGGCGATCAACAAGTTGAGGGAGTGAGGTATGTCTACCCCAGGGGTGCCACACTCAAGGACCATGGGCTGGAACCAGCCTCTACGGTGTTTAGATCTGGTCCACGGGGCCGCACTGGAAACAAGGAATGACCGGTCCATGGTGCCTCTGCCAGTGAAAATGGAGCTTGGGTCCTCCCGAGCTCCATTTTTGCTGACAGAGTGTTGCAGGAGGCCATCGCAGCTGAAAACGGAGCTTGGGAAGGCCGTGCGCAGCCCATCTGAGCTTCATTTTCGCTGGCAGAGGGTTGCAGGAGGCTGTCACAGCCAAAAACGGAGCTCAGGAGCCTGTTTTTGCTGGCAGAGCGCTTGGGCCACCATCTGCGCCCCTGACGTGAGCGATGTCAAGCTGACCAGCCCCCTGATGTCAAACGCAATCCTGATGCAGCCCTCAATGAAATCAAGTTTGACACCCCTGGTCCACCCTATCGAAGGATTAAGGGGGACGTGATCACTGTCTTCCAGCACATGTCGCAAAGACAAGGGAATTGACTTGTTCTCTAAGGCAGAGGTCCCCGACCCCCAATCTGCGGACCGGCACTGGGCTGGACCACGCCAGCAACTGGGCCGCGCAAACAAACGAAACCCCATCCACGGCATGCAGGCAGCGCACGAAACCATGCCCCCTCCTCTCCGTGGAAAAACCTTTCTGCATGAAACTGACCCTTGGTGCTCAAAAGGTTGAGGCCGTTGCTCTAAGGTAGAAGAAGGCAAGCCAAGAAGTAAAGGGTGGAAGCTTGTCAAAGAGAGATCCAACTTAGAACTAAGAAGAACAAATTAATCGGTGGAACTATTTACCTCCAGTCGTTGTGGGCGCTCCATCACTGGAGGCTTTCAAGAAGAGACTGGACAACCACTTGTCTATTATGGTATAGGGTCTCCTGCTTGAGCAGGGGCTGGACTAGAAGACCTCCAAGGTCCCTTCTGGCCCTGTGACTCTATGATTCTGTCCTCTCCCACCGTAAAAAAAAAAAGCAAAAGTTTTTCAGTTTGCTGAAGCTGCACATTGCTGAGTCTCCAACCAATTATTTTATGAATGTAGTTGTGACTGCTCCATCACTGGAGGTTTTCACAAATAGACCGGACAACCATTCGACCAGGATATTATAAGGTTTCTTGCCTTGAATAAGGGGTTGGACTAGAAGACCTCCAAGGTCCTTCCAGCTCTATGGTTCTATGTTCTAACAGAAGGGTCCCCAAACTTGTCAACTTTAAGACTTGTGGACTTCAACTCCCAGAATTCTCCAGCCAGCATAGCTGGAGAATTCTGGGAGTTGAAGTCCACAAGTCTTAAAGTTAACAAGTTTGGAGACTTCTGTTCTAACGGAAAAGTGAACATAATTTGATACTGATGTTCTGGGATATATAGCATGGTGCCTGGGATAACAAAGGTGTACCTGTAGAAGCCTTTCTAGGAATCTCCTGGTCCATTGGCCCTTCACCTTTCTTCATCAGCTTTCTTTCTACAAATGCATCCCAACGTTCATAGGACGTAGAAATGGCTTACTATTCCAAGCAACTCTGGGCGGCTGACAATGCAATTTAAAAAACGTATAAATATGAAAATAATTTAAAATTACAAGAGTTTTTTTTTAAAAAATAAAAGGTGTTTGTGGAGGGCCAATCAAAGAAGGGGATGTGGTGGCTCAGTGGCTAAGATGCTGAACTTGTCGATCAGAAAGGTCGGCAGTTCGGCGGTTCGAATCCCTAGGGCCGCGTAATGGAGCGAGTTCCTTTTCCTTGTCCCAGCTTCTGCCAACCTAGCATAGGGACCACCTTTGGTGGGAAGGTAACAGCATTCCGTGCGCATTCGGCGTTTAGTCATGCCAGCCACATGACCACGGAGACGTCTTCGGACAGTGCTGGCTCTTCGGCTTTGTAACGGAGATGAGCACTGCCCCCTAGAGCCGGAAACGACTAGCACGGATGTGTGAGGGGAACCTTTACCTTTACCTAATCAAAGAAGAATCATTTCCTGTGAGGAAAAAAAAAGCGGGGGGGGGGGGGGGGAATCATGGTTCTCCTTCCTGGCCTCGTAGAAACTTGGCTGCCGAAGCTGTCTCCTTGCCACAATGTTCCTCTCCTGGCAACAGTCTTCCTTGGGGTGGGAGAAAATAACAATAGCACTTAGACTTATATACCGCTTTATAGTGCTTTACAGCCCTCTCAAAGTGGTTTACAGAGTCAGCCTATTGCCCCCCAACAATTTTGAGTCCTCGTTTTACCCACCTCGGAAGGATGGAAGGCTGAGTCCACCTTGAGCCTGGTGGGATTCGTTCTGCCTCATTGCAGTAGGGGTAGCTTGCGGTGCTGCACTCTAACCCCTGCGCCACTGAGGCTCAGTGAGTGCCACTTCCCTTCGATAAGAAGCTCACAAAAAGTGGTTTTCAAGATCTCTGACCTTACCAGCTGGCCTTAGTCCTAGATAGTAGGTGAATTCCTGCAATCAAATTAGCTGATTAGCTGAGTAAGCCAGATCTCTGGGAGAAAAAGCAGGATGCTGTGTTGACCTTTAATAAGAGTTTGCTTGAACGCTCGTTCTAAACCTTCAACTTTGGGTGTGTGTGGTTGGGTTTTATTTTTACTGCTTCTGCCCCCCCCCCCTGTAAAAAAGAGAGGGGGTCTCAGGAAAGCCCTCCTCCCCCCGATTGGTAAAAATCAGTGGCTCATATTAATCCGAATATAACCAAATCCAGCCAGCTGCTTATCAAAAACTTGATTGAATATCCTGTGGTGGGAGCTGCTTTGCCTTCAACACATCAATGTTCCCCAGTTGGGAGGAGGAGGGACTTGTGTATCTGAATGTGATTTGGCATTTGTTCGCTCGCCACTAACGGTGAAATCAATCAGGAATCGTGAGCCTGCCCTCCATCCCAACATGCTTTCTTGCTGTAATCTTATTCTTAATCTCTCGCTTTTCGGTTGTGAGGGGGTGGGGGAGGGAAATGGCTTTGTGTTATATGCAGAGACGATCCTTTGCTGGATGGTGAAGATGGGAGGAAAATACCAGGGTGTGAAAGGGACCAGATGCTTGCTGCTTTACAAAGAAATTGAAAAATTCAAATTTTGCTGTTTTTCGTTAACCTGCATGCAAATAAATTGGGGCTCTGGCCTTTTTTGGAACAAGCTGGATGTTTTTAAGTTTTAAATATTGGTTATTACAAGAGCAGGCATATTTCCCCCCACCCCATCAAATAGGACCTACTTATTCATTGACCCAAAGAAAACTCTCAGACAGAATACTTCAATAAACTTTATTATTTATTTATTTGCATCCGACGTTTTATTGTTTTTACAATTCAAGCTGGACAACATATCCAACAAACCTTTTCCTCCTATTCTCCCCACAACAACAACCCTGTGAGGTGGGTTGGGCTGAGAGGGGGGGATTGACTATTCCAAAGTCTGGCTTTCATGACTAAGCAATCTAGAACTGAGGAGAAATTTTCTGTCAGTAAGAACAATTAATAAGTGGAACAACTTCCCTCCAGAAATTGTGGATGCTCCAACACAGAATCTCCATAGATTTGAGCTATGCACTTTGGGATGAACCTCCTTCGAATGGTGCGGGAGTAGGAACAGAATTACCACAAAAAGTGCAGACTACAGGAACCATTGGCGCTTCAGTTTGAAATGCAGACAACATAGATTCATCCCCAACAGCCTGTGCCTGTCTTCAACAGAGAAGGGACATAGGCCATAGAAAAACATCCTGCAGAAAGCGCAGCTCCACAAGAAAGGAACCAACCTAACCCCTTGTACACCTGTTGTCTTGATACCTGGAAATGTTTGGTCCCATTTTACCATCTCCATTTATTTGGTCTTCCCGGAGAAAGAGGTATCAGCCCAATATTTTCACCTCCCCGATTTTGCCTCTGTTGAGAGTTGGAGAGGCCTGCAGATTTACTCAAGGGCCAAACTGCATGTTCACTTTGCCCAAGGGGTTTGCAACCTTAAACACTCAAATTTTTTGAGTCATTTGGACCCGTTTCCCACAGAAATGAAAACACGGGGAGCCAATAATTTAACAACCGGCGTGACTGGGTGGTTGTGGCCAACTCGATGTCACTCACTCCCACCCCAGACACCTGCTGCTCTGGAATATGGAGTGAGTCTCCATCCCCTGCCATCACCCTTACCTCCTCAGGCCAGGCGAGAAGTGACAGGGAGGGGATGTTGGGATCAGCCGACAGGGAGCCGCAGCAGAGGGCCGAAAGAGCAGCATGTGGCTCCAGAGCCGCAGGTTGCAGACCCCTGACTTAGCCATTCTGTCTCTGTGTTTCCTGCCTGCTTTTGCTTTGGACCTCTTGTAAGTAAGCAAGAGGGGCCAGCCAGCCAACTCCTAAAAACACCAGCAAGTCCAGATCGACCCAAACACATTGATTTGCATGCTGTTGAGCACAGGGGGGTCTGCAAACCTGCCACTTTTTAGGCTGGAGGACTTCAACCCCCCGAATTCCTCCGCCCACATCCCCGAACACCCCCCCCCCCCCCCCCACTGTATCTTGTCCCTTTGGCTCTTAACTTCCATTTCTGTCTGCTTGTGAACTTAGGGAACGTTCCATCTCCCAGCGCCCCCTTGAAGAGGGTATTGGCTTACACCGGCTGCTTTAGCCGCACCCAGACCATCAAGGAGATCCACGAATACCTGTCGCAGCGGCTGAGGATGAAAGAGGAAGACATGCGCCTGTGGCTGTACAACAGCGAGGTAATGGCAGAATCACGGCAAAGAAACTGTTGGGCTGCCAGCCCGTGCGTGGTAGTTGGAAGTTGAAACACCTGATCTGATTGGTGGGGTCCAAAGCAGATGGATTTGGTATTAGTGGTTAGTTACTTCTCCTTTGATTGCAGCTTAGTTCAGACATGCTAAGCTAGCCCTCTTGGGGTATGCAGAGCCAGCATACAGATAGTCCTCAGCTTACAACTATTTGTGTTCTGACCCAGCTCCACAAACACAGCAAACTCTCTGAAGTTAACTCAAAAGATTCCTTTAATTAGGAGTGCCAGTAGTTTCTCTCTCACCACAGGCTAACAAGTCCGGCCAGCCAGAAGATGAATAGTGTCTGTTCGTCTCCACCTCCTGCCTTTTATTCCCAGAGCTGGGGTGGAGCTTCACTAGCAGCAGTGGCTCTTTCGTCCCAAAGATCAGCCCATAGATTTCCACTGCTCTCCTCTTCTCTCTGCCTTCTGCGCCTCCATGCATCCGGCACTGGACCCAGCTGTTCCTCCTCTTCCTCATCAGCCATCTCCAGACCTGGGGGCTGTTGAGTCTCCATTGAAGGCTGACAGATGGCCCAGGCTCCGCCGCTCTCTGTCTCTGTCTCTCTCTCTCAGGGCTATTTGGAAATACACACATTGGCCGCGTGTTAAGTCAGTGTAGCTCAGGATTAGCAAAATTTCTGAATTAACAAGGGAAGATCAGCTCTATCTGGTCATCAGGTTTTGCTGTTGTAAGGATAGGAAAAGTCACTTGCAGTTTTTTTCTCTCTCTCTCCAGAACTATCTTACTCTTCTAGACGATGAGGATCATACACTGGAATACCTGAATATTCAAGATGAACAGCACTTAATTATAGAAGGTATAAAATAGTCATGGTTTTAACCTAATATTCATGGCTGGCAATGGGGAATCCTGGGAGTTGAAGTCCACACATCTTCAAGTTTTAATGAAAAGAAGGACTGGGGAGACATGATAGCAGTATTCCAATATCTCAGGGGCCGCCACAAAGAAGAGGGAGTCAAGCTATTCTCCAAAGCAGGACAAGAAGCAATGGGTGGAAACTAATCAAGGAGAGAAGCAACTTAGAACTAAGAAGAAATTTCCTGACAGAATAATTAATCAGTGGAACAACTTGCCTCCAGAACTTGTGAATGCTCCAACACCGGAAGTTTTTAAGAAGAGCTTGGATAACCATTTGTCTGAAGTGGTGTAGGGTTTCCTGCCTAGGCAGGAGGTTGGACTAGAAGACCTCCAAGGTCCCTTCCAACTCTGTTATTCTATTCTATTCAAGTTGCCATGTTTGAGAAACACTGCTCTAACCACTCAGTCACTGCATGACCAGGGGGGGCAATATAGCGAGGTTTTGCCTGGAGCAACAGAAGGAAAAGAAAGGTCAAACTCCCTTTGCTACAATTCCCAAAAGTTCCTATATTGTTCCTAATCACTCCAAGTAACACATCCGCCAAAAGCAGTACTCCGAGGCAGATAGATTCCTCAAAGAACATGTTTGTTGGATACATCATATTGGCACAAGCTAGTGAAAACCAACTCTAAAGTTTCCCGCAGTTTCAGCCTAACTAAAAGAGCAATTGTTTCCCTCCCAAATGTCACAGGTCACATTGTCCAATTAAAGTAGTTGGTGGGCTGCTTGGTCTCTCCTCTCTTTTAACTGGCAGTTGGGATGACCTTGGTTCCCACAAGAAAACTGTTTGTTTTGACTGCTAGCCAGTCTGTCTACTTTCCCCTCCCTTCCCCGCTTCAGAGTTGGTGGCAACTAAGAGGCAGCAAAAGATGGCTTCAGCCAGGTTCACTTCAAAGTTGACACACTCATTCTTTAAAAGTTTAATATGAGCCTTGGTTAATTAACTTAAGAAATTCTTCTTTCCCCCTCTATTGTTATTTTTTCCCATTCATTTATCATTGGAAGTTCATATTGTATTTTTTAATACGATGACCTTTCCGGAGAGCTGGGGGCCAAATCCGATGCACAATACATGGAAACCGTGTTTCTGTTCAGAAATTTCTCACCTGCGAACATCTGAGGATTTCTTTCTGGGCTGAGAACTTTTAATCATTTTGTTGGGATCCTTGATGGCAGCAGCCCCAATGGGCGGCTCTCTGGCTTCAAACCACATTGTGGTTTTTGTAAATATAAGGATCCTTCTGTCTTTGTAAAGAGGCTGGCCTTTCAATCTCATGTTATTGGAGTCAGCTGCATTCTAAATGCAATGGAGTTGGTGCCAGCTAAGCTTTGATCTCTTCTTGTTGCAGTTCGCAATAAAGACATGAGTTGGCCGGAAGAGATGTCATTTATAGCAAACAGCAGTAAAATTGACAGGCATAAAGGTAAGTGTTGCTTTCTTATTCCCTTGACACATTACAATAGAGTGAGCTGTTGGGAATCCCAAGCAGACAGATCCCGCTAGTAGGTTGCTGGATGATTCTAGTAAGTTGGTAGTAAGTTGGTAAATTCAAACTAGTAGTTCCTATCCAGTTTTGGTCATCACAATACAAAAGCGATGTTGGGATTCTAGAACAGGGCTGTCAAACTCGATTCAAACTAGATTCAAACTCGTGGACCACAGGCCAGAGGCATCACGTATTGGCCATGCCACCCAGTTTAGGGGGAAAGTTGCAATTCGTCACGTGACGCCACCGTGACAATGTGAGTTTGACACCCCCTGCTCTAGAAAGAGTGCAGAGAAGAGTAACAAAAATGATTAAGGGTCTGAAGGTTAAAACAAATAATGAACCCTTGAAAAACTGGATATGTCTAGGCTAACAAAGAGAAGGACTAGAGGTGACAAGATAGCAGCCTTCCAATAATTTGAGGGTCTGCCCCAAAGAAGAGGGGTCAACTTGTTCTCCAAAGTGCCAGAAGGCAGAACAAGAAGCAACGGATGGAAAATAATCCAGGAGAGAAGCAACCTAGAATTAAGGAGGAATTTCCTGACAGTGAGAACAATTAACCAGTGGAACAACTTTGCCTCCAGAAGTTGTGGATGCTCCATCATTGGAGGTTTTTAAAAAGAAATTGGACAGCAGTTAGACTAGAAGACACCCCCCCCCCCCCCCCACCCCCCCCCCAAAAAATCCCTTCTAACTCTTCAATTATTCTGCAGATCAAACTGGATTAATTCTGGCTGCAAGTAATGCCACACACTGTTTTGAAAGTTTGCTTTCATTTCTTTCTATCTGATTTGGGAGGGCTTAACTTATCAAGCTGTCACCTGTTTCGAAAATGATTCAGGGAAAGGTGTTTTGGTCAAGTGCAGCATCTTGCCTTTAAAGCAGCCCAGCCTTTTTCAGGGGTTTTGAAGTTGTCCTAAGCAGATGCTTAAAGTTGTAACATCTTTTTTCAGGCTCACATGGAAGGCAATGCATAGCAGCCATTGATACATACTAATGCCCAGCCGGGCTTATAACTGAAACCTTCCTAGCTTGCTCCTATCTGAAAAGTATTTTTTTTAGTATTGGGTACCATTTCAATTCTCCATCATTCTTAACACATGGTGGGACATTAACATTCTTCTTGGGGTTGCCACTTTAAATTTCCCACAATAAGGGATCAGGACACTGGAGGTAAATTTGTCCCCTTTTTCCCTGTATGCACGTGTTGCATAGCTTAATATTGTTTGTTTGTCAGTTAAATTTTTTTTTTTGCCATCTGTCTCCCCATGCCATCTACTCTAGGCAGCTTACCATAATAAAAAGGAAGAAAATGAAAGGTGTTTAAACAGAAGTAAAATTATAGAACTATAAAATAAACAATGAAAAAAGAACACAACGAGAATATATCAAGATGATAACCAAAATGATGGACAGGTGGGGAGATGGAGTCTGCCATCAATCCAGGAACCTACTCCAGAATAGATAATATACTGTTTATTATCATTATTTATAATTTTACGTTTATAATTTATAATAAAAGAGCTGTGGTGGTGCAGCGATTGGAATGCGGTACTGCAGCTAATTCTGCTGACTGCAGGCTGCCAGCAATTCAGCAATTTGATTCTCACCAGCTCAAGGTTTGACTCAGCCTTCCATCCTTCCAAGGTCGGTCAAATGAGGACCCAGATTGTTAGGGGGGGGGGCAATGTGCTGACTCCATAAACCACTTAGAGAGGGCTGTAAAGAACTCTGAAGTGGTATATAAGCAGGGGTGGGATTCAAATTTCTTAACAACCAGTTCTGTAGGCATGGCCTAATTTGTGGGTGTGGCTCGGTCATGTGACTGACTGGGCGTGGCTTGTATATAAATATTATAAATATTTATGTAAGTATTGAACTTTTTATTTAAAAAAGAGCAACTTTTACCCAAAATCAGACAAAGCAGGCAGGCAGATTGAGTTGCTTGCAGAAGCACAGATTCACTCAGAGATCTACCTTTCTGCAATCTGCTAGCTGAGTCTGTCACATAAAATTTGCTTGCAAGCAAATTCACAAAGTTAATTCACAACACACCATGTATATAAATATTGATTTTTTTATTTAAAAAAGAGCAACTTTTACCCAAAAGCAGGCAAAGCAGGCAGGCAGATTGAGTTGCTCACAGAATCACAGATTCATTCAAAGGTCTATCTTTCTGCAATCTGCTACCTGAGTCTGCTCTGAAAAAAATAGAAGCTTCAGTCCTAAGGAAGGTTCAGCTCTGTTTTTAGATTAGCTAGAAAGCAAGAAATCCAATGATTTCCTGCTTTCTAGCTAATCTAAATCTCCCTGCACAGCAGAACAGCTGATGGTCAGGGGGAAAAAAAAGGAAAAACAGCAACTTAGCAGGCAAGTTTGATGGCAGGAGTAAGTGTATGGGGCGGGGCCAGCCAGTGGTGCGATTTGCCAGTTCTCCGAACTGTGCAGAATTGTAACAACTGGTTCTATAGAACTGGTCCGACCAGGTTGAATCCCACCCCTGTATATAAGTCTAAGCGCTATTGCTATTGCAGGCAAACTCTGCCCGCTGCCAGGAGTTCATTCCTGACCGAATCAAAGGTTGACTCCATCCTTCCGAGGTCGATAAAATGAGGATCCAGATTGTTGGGGGCAATAGATTGACTCTGCAAACCTCTTAGAGAAGTCTAAGCGCTATTGCTATTATAATTATTCATAATGAATGTCCTGCTGATTTCCATAATTTTTTCCTTCCAGTTCCGACAGAAAAAGGGGCCACGGGCTTAAGCAACTTGGGGAACACGTGCTTCATGAATTCAAGCATCCAGTGTGTCAGTAACACACAACCGCTTACCCAGTATTTCATCTCCGGCCGACATCTGTACGAGCTGAACAGGTAGTTCTCACCCGTGACTCAAGGAGGAATTGAAATATGAACAGAAGTGGTTGTGATGGTGTGTGTATGTGTGTGTGCTTACAGGTAGTCCTCGACTTACAACTGTAATGGAGACTGCCCATTACGGTCGTAAATTGGGATGGCTGTCAAGCAGATCATCACGTGAACGATCTGATTTTACGACCTACTTTTGTGGTGTGGTCATTAAATGAATCACCATGGTCATTAAGCGAAGCCATGTTGCGAAGCAAAGCTATTGTTCATTATGGGCCGTTTTTTTTGCCAGAAACTGGAAATAAATGCCAATTTTCAGCAGAAATCACAGTCACATCACTGTGGGACCCTGCAAACGGCCATAAATGCGGGTTGGGTGCCCAAAATGTGGTCATATGATTATAGGGGGAGGGGCTGTCAAAACCGGTCATAGGTACCTTTTGCAGGGATCCGTCATAACTTCAAACCGTTTGCTAAGCAGCTGGTCGTAAGTCGAGGACTACCTGTATTGTAAAGCGATCGAAATAGTGAGAACAAACACACTAGAAATAGAAAGGGCTGCCACTGTTTCCTGCTGATTTCTTGGTTCTAATAACAACATTATTGCTTGCCTAGTTTTTATGCACACTGGGAAGGATTGCAGGTTCTCTGCCTGAGAGGCTGGCAAATCACTCAAACAAACAAACACATTAAAAATATTATCCCTGCAGGTAGACATCTAGCCTTTATCTCATTTAATATTTTTATTGAATTATCAAATAAAATAAGATACAAACTACAAAAATAAATAGGGAGGAAGAGACGACCTTCTCTGCATCTAAAAATATTAAGGCAGCCTGTTTCTCATTATGATATTATAAGTATTCCATAATATTTAAGACAAGCCCTCACATTATCTCTTAGCTGTCTTTTCGGCAGAAAGCCTGCTTGGACTTCATGTATAGAAAATCTTTTTGTCAGAATGGCAGTGAAGAGTTTCTAATCTTTGTTTAATAATGAAATTGGCCTATAATTCTTTGTAACATCTTGACCCTCCTTTGGGAGCGACACAGTGTTGGCTTTTTCCACGTCTGGGGTACATTTCCCCCCTGTAGTATGTCATTCATCGTGTCCTTTAGTGGTTGAAGAAGTTCCTCCTTGAAGCACTTACAGTATCGGCTTGTGAGACCACCTGGGCCTGGGGCTTTGCCTGGCCTCATTTTTTTAATGGCTTCTGATATCTCAAAGGCAGTTATCGGATCGTTCATAAGTTGTATCTGGGTTTGTGATAGCTTAGGCAACTTTTATTATTACCTTTATTGTCAGAGTACAACCTGCGTACAATGAGATTGGCTGAGCCTCTCTTTGCGCACCCCTCCCACCACAACTCACAGTGAGGACAAAAGTCCCTAACCCAGTCCCAATCTTATTACACTGTTTTTGCCTTAAAAGATGTTCATCTATTTTAACCCATCTATCTCCTGTCTTTTATACGAATTCAGATAGAAATGATGAAAGGACTTTTTAATAAGTTCATTACATCTAGCCTTTATAAGAGGAGATTCAGTGGAACCTTTGTCCTGCCTACATTTAGGGAGCAATTTAGTGGCCCGCCAGCGACTGACGGAGCTACCAGCAAAGTCGGACAGTAGCGAGGAGGTTGGGGAGGAACCTGGGCCAGTCTTGGAGGCTGAGGAGGGCTCAGACAAGGGCTCTGCATCGGAGGCAGGGATGGGGCCAGGGCAGGCTGGCAGACTCAGACAGCAGTGAGGTGGGGGAGTTTCTGGAACTGGTTCCCATCCTGTGCATGCGCAGGGCTATCAGAAGACAAGAACAATTGAGAAAGCAGGGTCGACTCAGGAGTAAGGCCACACCTCAGAGATGATCAGCCCCTCCCATAGGACATAAAAGAGGAGCAAACGGGATGTGAGCTTTTGCAGGAAGCAATTAGTTTGTCTGGTCAATTCAAGCTTTGAAAAGTTCTGTTTGACTCTGTGGCAAGTTTGGCCTTGCCCTGCGTTTGGCAATTAGTTCTCTGGCAGCATTCCAACTGCGATAAGGTGGGTGTTTATAAACGTTCCCCTGAAAGCAGGGTTGGGATTCTACCAGTTCGCACCTATTCACTAGAACCGGTTGTTAACATTCTAAGCAGTTCAGAGAACCGGTTGTTAGAAGAAATTACTGGCCTAATCCTGTAAGGAAGGCAGGAAGGAAACATTCTGGTGTTGCTTACAGAAACTGCCTCTCCGTTAACCCTTATTACATTCTTGGCAGGACTAGACTTTTTGTCTCAGGAACTTCTCTGGAGTTTTTTTCCCCTCCTTTGCTGGCACTTTGCTTGTGTGGAGGGACCATTCAAAGTTACAATGGCACTGAAAAAGTGACTTATGACCATTTTTCACACTTACGACTGTTGCAGCATCCCCCACAGTCATGAGAGACCAGGCGAGGAAATGCATACCTCGATGTGAGTGATATTGAGTTGGCCACGCCCAGCCAGTCACATGACCACCAAGCCATGCCCACCAACTAAGCCACACCCACAGAACCGGTTGTTAAAAAATTTGAATCCCACCCCTGCCTGAAAGACTGTTTGTGAAGCCTTGCAGGCTGTGAATGAACGTAATTCACAGCCGTGGAAATAAAAGAGATATTGCCAGAACTAAGATTGTGTTCTATGCTTTCTAAGGAAGCCTAGGTCAGAACACCCTCTGCCATCTGAGGTTATATACAGATAGTCCTTGATTTACGACAGTTGGATAATGATGGTTCAAACTTACAGCAGCATTGAAAAGACTAGTTCTTGCACTCAGGACTCTCACAGTATCCTCATGGACACATGGTCAGTAATGTGGGTGCCTTTTGCAACCACGTGTATTTATGACAAGTTTGCCCCATCACAATGGATCACCCTTTGCCACCTTCTCAGAGGGCTTCTAACAACCAGACTCAGTGGAGAAGCTGGATGTACATAACAATCACAGTGATTTGATTAACGACATGGGGGGGGGGAAAAGGTCTTAAACCCTGGTGTGGCTCACTTAACGGCCATATCATTTCACGATGGAAGTCCTAGTTCCCATTGGGCTTGTAAGACAAGGTCTACCTCTTTTCAAAATCCCATCTACTCATTTCTAAGTAGACCAACGGGTAATTGATGGAACGAATTCTGTTCTAAATTCCAGGACAAATCCAATAGGAATGAAGGGGCATATGGCTAAATGCTACGGGGATTTGATTCAAGAACTGTGGAGCGGAACCCAAAAGAACATTGCTCCTCTGAAGTTGAGGGTAAGCCCCTGCAAGCGTTTCTTATTCCATTGCAGCTTCATTCTGAAATGGGGAATTTTAGAAAAACCGCGTCTTTCTTGACATATATACAGGCCTGGAAGTGAGTCACCTTATAATGGAATTTCCAATCAATTTCAAAAGTCCCCCATTTCCTGGGAGGCGGTATGGGACAAACTTTGCTAGATATTCGTTTCCCATGGATCTGAGCAGCAGGGAAGAGTAATTAGCACCCAGGTGGAATCTGGGCTACAAAGTCTACCTTCCTGAAATGATTTTACCTTAGTGGATGGGGGAGCACACAGACGTGGTAACTGCTTCCTTGAAGTCATTCCACCGATTGTGTCACAGCAATCACCTGTGGCACTATTAAATGTTTTTTTTAAATGTGACATTGAATAAATCTTAAGGGAGAAGAGGGGTCTAACGGTTAGGGTGCTAGATGTCAGCCAAATCTCCAGCATGGGTTTCTGCATCGTGCTTGCTCTTGGCTGCCATAAAAACAGGTAAGTGGTCATGGGCATTTGAGATGGGGAAGCTAGTGTAGTAGTCCCATAAGAACTAGAAGGGGGGTTTGCACTGATGAATTATGGCGCTGCTGAGTGGAGTTGTTTATACTCAGTCAAGGCCAACTGTCCGGAGGCTCCAGGTGCAAGAAATACCTGCAGAGGAGAGGAGCTTTCCCATAACATCATACTGGATGTTGATTGGACTCTCAGTGCTGGACCCTGGTGGGAGGGATTTGGGGAGCCTTTCCGTGTGTAACTTTGGCGTGTTTTGAATAAGATCTTGCCTTGCTTTCCCTGTTTATCATTTCAAAATTAGTAAAAGTACCTCTTCTCTAATCCAATGGAGTTAGGGGTTTTCTTTCTTGAGTTTTGAATGGAGGCAGGCCTGAGACTAGGCTTGTCAACCAGAAGGTTGGCAGTTCAAGACCCAAGCACTGTGTGACAGGGTGAGTTCTCGTCCCAGCTCCTAGCAGTTCGAAAGCATGCAAATACGAGTAGATAAATAGGTACCACTGAAGTAGGGTGGAAGATTACCAGAAAAGTATTCTTCTCATTAGCAGAAGTTCCTTAGCTTATATCGCAGACATTATAGACGTTGCTTAATATGATATTGTGAAAATCAGGAAATCTGCTGAATCTAAGTGTTATGACCTATGAACTAGATATTTTCTGTGAGCAGCTAAATGGCAAGAGTGTCAAGGGTGGGTATGGAAAATAACAGATGGTGTAAGATAAGCACGTATATGCTGAATTGTGCAAAATGCCTAATTAGACTTACTTCCCCCTTTTGTAGTACATATGTTATGGTATAGCCTGAGAAGAAAAAAACGTCCTGGGAAAATCTGAGATTGTGAGCTGCATAAAAGCAACCCCTCAGGAATAGCCGGGGGTTCAGAATTTGCCATGCTAATGCTCTGAACCTTTTGCGCAAATAAACCTGTATTCTCTTACCCTTCGTGGTCTTTGTGTCCTGATTTGAATGCAAGATCTGCTGCAACACCACTTCAGTGGGAAGGTAACAGCATTCCGTGTGCCTTGGTGCATAGTCGCATAACCATGGAAGCATCTTCGGACAACGGTAGCTCCCTTGGCTCTGAATCAGAGATGAAGACCGCCCCTTAGACTGGACAGGGAAAACCTTTACCCTTCTCTTTACCTTTGAATAAGGCGCAGTTGGTTGATCTCACCCATAATGTTAAGCCACGATTTACTCAAGGGTAGTGCCTTGTGTTTGCATGCACAATCAGCATTGTGCAATTAACTCGGCCAAGGTGAGAATTCCCTCACTGTTCTTAACACCCATTGGGCCCGCTTTGCTTTGTTACAGTGGACTATAGCTAAATATGCCCCGAGGTTTAATGGCTTCCAGCAGCAAGATTCTCAGGAACTCTTAGCTTTTCTCCTGGACGGGCTCCATGAGGACCTGAATCGAGTCCATGATAAGCCGTACGTTGAGCTGAAGGACAGCGATGGCCGTCCGGATTGGGAGGTGGCGGCAGAGGTGAGTGACTTTGGGCCAACGCACGGCTCTCTCTCTCTGATTTTGAATGCAGATTTTGTTCTTCTTCATGTTGAGGATTCTCTGAAATACTGTTTTTATAGGACTTTATTCTTATTCTATACGTTGTTTTGTATAGTTTTATGATTTTTAACATTGGAAACCACCCAAAGTCACTTTGTGATGAGATGGATGGGAAAGGGAAAGGAAAATATAGGAAGGAAAGGAAAAGAAAGGAAAATATAGGAAGGAAAGGAAAGGAAAGGAAAGGAAAGGAAAGGAAAGGAAAGGAAAGGAAAGGAAAGGAAAGGAAAGGAAAGGCAAATATAGGAAGGAAAGGAAGGGAAAGGAAAGGAAAGGAAAGAAGGAGAGGAGAGGAAAGCAAAGGAAAGAGAGAAAAAGAAAGGAAGGAAGGAAAGAGAAAGAAAGAAAGAAAGAAAGAAAGAAAGAAAGAAAGAAAGAAAGAAAGAAAGAAAGAAAGAAAGAAAGAGAGAAAGAGAGAAAGAGAGAGAGAGAGAGAAAAGTAACTTTCATTATCTCAAAGAATGAAAGCCTCAAGCTCACATGGTCAACCAGTAGGTCCACCAATCATCCCAAAACAGCAGGATTCCCTACAGAGAATGATAGCCCAGAGGAAGATAGCTTCTTCAAGTATGAACATCATGTGGCCGAGTTAAAAAAAAAAAACACCAAAATTTTGCACCTAAAAAAATTAAGCCTGTCACGAAATGTTCCCTTTGTCACTGACATGCCGGTTTCCTACAAGTAAGGACAGGCTACTGGTGGTGGCAATATCCCTCTTTAATTTCCATACTCTATGAAATGGTTGTTAGGGTTTGGAGATTAACCCCTAGAAGAGTATTGCAGCAGTAGTCAAGCCAGGAAGCCAAACGAGAGTGGAAGGGCCCCAGAGTATACACACACTGAACACAAACACTGTTTGTAGTTTAAATAGTTTTTAATCCAGTTAGAGTTTAAGCATTGTCATTCAGTCCATTAAGTCATTCACAGTATTTCCATCCAGTAAGACTCACTAGTATAGTCCAAGTTAAGAGTCCTTGCAATATCTTTATCAGCCGATAAAGATATCTTCTCCTCCTCCGGTTTCACTCTCCAGAGAAACAAACGCTGGATATTCAG